ATGATCTTCAATCTTCATCCTCAAGTTGCAAGTGTTATACTTACATTTTCAGAGATTGGGAGGCCCTCTTTCAGCTACCCAAACACTTTAAACCATTCAGTACCCCTTTTGATTCTATGCTAATTTCTTTGACTTCCCCTCTTTTAGAATCAAGTTAGAGTCATAGAAAAAAGGAAGAGAAAAAAGTTCATGTCCCTATAGGTTTGTTTACAAAGTTCATTCCAAAAGAAAAAGAAAAAAGAAAAAAAGAGATAAAGTGAAAAAGGAAAATGAAAAAGAAAAGAAAAAGAAAAGAAAAAGATAAATAGCAACAACAAAAGTATTCCTTAGAACTACGTTCGATCTAATTCTTGTCACCACAAGATATGTACGCAGCCTGACGGTTCGGTTGAACCAAATAAAATATTTCATAATCCCACGAAGTCGAGAGGGCGACAGTTTTTTTAGAAATTCCACCTCAAAAAAATAAAAAAACAAAAAAAGAGAGAATCAAATTCTCGTGTTTTAGCAATTGGGGAAAAGTTTTAAATATGATTCCAAAAGTTGTAAATAAATTAACCTTGTTGTCTTAGTTATTTTGAGCCTTTATGATATCCTTTCTTTCTAACCCTGTCCAAAAAGCCACATTACAGTCCAAAAAAGACCTTTCAGATAATCTTTGAGAGTGTCGAGTTAGACATGCCGGGAACATATGATATTTTTACCATGGTTAATGCCTTGTCATCTACAGAATAAGACGAAAAGAACAAAATGAGAGGGTCGTATTGGTAAAAACCCTTACGGGCACCATAAGGCGATGGTGAGTTGAGAGAAAGAACAATAATGGGAGAGGCTTGATGTTGAAAATCCTTTGGGGAACCACAAGTCGAATAAGGATTGTGAGTCTAATAGAACCATTGGATTATTAGAGTCCAGTTCGAAGGGTTGAAGGTATGGCAATAATGGAAAATTATACTTACTAGACAAATTAGGCCGCCTAATCCAAAATGCATGTCATGATCATTGGAGTTGGTGTCCATATCTGATAAGTTTTACATTGTAATTTTCTTGTCTGATATTATCTCTCTCCATTGTCCCCTTACTATGTTCTTCTTGCTTTGTGTAAGTCCTCTTTTTGAGTCAGTTTGGTCAGAAAAGGTGAGAAATGAATTCTAAATTTGCAACCAACTTTCCAATTCCACAAAGCGGAGTTTGACTAGCACCTCAAATTGGCATAAGTCTGGAAAGCGAAGTATGCACATTGAGTTGGCGTCAATTGACGTGCTTTAGGATTCATGTGAAATGTAAAGGTTTGGTATATGTCAATTCATAATGCATCAAATAGAGGGATTTGGGCTTGAACCAATCAGAGGTGTTCTCTATGATAAGAATTGATAGAAAAATGGTTAGTCAATAACAGGCAAGGTCTTCCAGGTTGAAATCAAACTTATCATGGCAAGTGAAGGAACAATCGCCCTCAAAGTCATGGCCACAAACCAACCACCATGTTTAAACTCAGAAGTTTTCTTTCTTTGAAACAGGGGCGAAGATTATGTCCAAATCAAAGCTGGGAAGCTTGAATTTCTCAAGTGTCGTGCCAAGTTTTGTCAACACAAAGGCTATTTGAGAAGGTTTTTACTTGCTATGCATTCCCCTAGTTGAGAAATCATTACCTCCCAATAATTTTACTTATTTGAGAATACCATTACCTCCTAGGCATTCACTCTAGTTGAGAAGAATCATACCTCCCAGGCATTCCCTCTAGTCGAGAAGAATCTTTAGTTTTCCTTAAGTTCAGGGGTCCCGCCTGTAGAATGGAGTCAATTTTAGTTTTCTTAAGTTATTAATCATTAGCATTCCTTATGTTCAGGGGTCTCGCCTGAAAAATAGGGTGGTCAGGTTTAGTTTCTTTATGTCATTAATCTTTAGTTTTCCTTAATTTCAGAGGTCCCACCTGGAAAATAGGTTCAGCTTTTAATTTTCTTAAATTGTTAATCTTTACTTTTTCTTAAATTCAGGGGTCCCGCTTGGAGAATATGGTCAGTTTTTAGTTTTATTAAGTTATCAATCTTTAGTTCTTCGTAAGTTGAGGGGTCCCGCATGGAGAATAGGGTCAGTTTTAATTTTCTTAAGTTGTTAGTCTTTATTTTTCCTCTAGTTCAGAGGTCACGCCTAGAGAATAGGGTCAATTTTTTGTTTAGTCAAGCTCAGTTTATAGTTTTCCTTAAGCTTAATCTCACAGGAGACGCACATCCTAGTCGAGTCTTTAGTTTTACTCTCTCATCACATCCTTCATCAATAGCATAGGTGATTTACAATTTTGCAAATAACTCGAGATTTTCCTAGTAAAAACTGGGGCAGAAAAATTTTGTTCGATTATTTTTTGGTGTCTGAGTAGGTTTTACCTCGAGGAACATGGTTCGAGATGACCAAAAGAAAAATTCTCAATCCAGAATAAAAGAAAAGAAAAAGACGTAAACCAAAATATAGAAGCAGATGAAAGATCTGAACTGCTCAAGACATGATTGAAGTCACGTGCACTACATTCCCCGTTTTTTATCAGAAAATGCCGTAAAAGAATGAATTAGTGTCCTCCTGGATAATGTGATGTAGTTTCATGTTTTCAGGACCTTTCTGGATAATGGGATGTAGTTTTAAGTTGTCAAGACCCTCTTGGATAATGGGGTTTTGTTTTACGTTTTTAGGACCTTCATAGATAATGAGATTTAGCGCAAGATTTACCTTTAGGAAATAGAATTTAGCTTCCAAGTTTTCACTTTTAAGACAAGATTTAATTTTAGTTTTCAGGGCACTCCCGGATAATGGGATTTAGCTTTTAAATTCTTAGAGCTCTTTTGGATAACAGGATTCGATTAATACTCACAGATGGTCCCGATACCAAACTGGGGAAGAAAAGTTTCTTTTGTTTTGTCTGTTTTGTTGCGATGGCAGGCGCCCACCTGTAGAACAAGGAAATTCATTTCAAGTTTAAGTTGCAGGCGCCCACCTAAAGAACAAGGGAATTTATTTCAAATTTTAAGTCAGCATCAGGCGCCCACTTGGAGAACAAGAGAATTCATTTCAAATTTAAGCTGCAGGCGCCCACCTCGAGAACAAGGGAATTTATTTCAAATTTTAAGTCAGCATCAGACGCCCACATGGAGAATAAGGAAATTTATTTCAAATTTTAAGTCAGCATCAGGCGCCCACCTGGAGAACAAGGGAATTTATTTCAAATTTTAAGTTAGTATCAGGCGCCCACTTGGAGAACAAGAGAATTCATTTCAAGTTTAAGTTGTAGGCACCCACCTAGAGAACAAGGGAATTCATTTCAAGTTTAAGTTGTAGGCTCCCGCCTGGAGAACAAGGGAATTTATTTCAAGTTTCCAGTAAGTAGAAGGAACCCACCTGGAGAATGGGGGAAGTCATTTCAGAATTCAATTCAAGTTAAAAGTAGTAGAAGCTCGCAGCAAGAATGCGAGTTGTTAGTACAAGATGACCAGCAGAAGTAGTCTCAATCCAGGATAAAAAAAAGTGAAATCCAAATTGCAGAAGTAGAGAAAGATGTGAACTGCTCAAGACATGGCTGAAGTAACGAGCACCACATGCCCCGTTTTGATCCGATGAAGCCATGGAAGAGTAAATCAGCACCTGCAGCTGCCAAGCATCAAGGTTCAAATCAAATTCCGCATGAAGAACCGTTCAATACTCAAGATCAAGCTTCAGAAGACTTATAGATAGGAATCTTGTAACTCATAGCTGACATGTTTAGTTAGTCTTTTTTTTTATGTAATAACAACTGGACCGCGGACCGGAACCTCGACGGAACTACATCTCGATCGGCTCTCCACCTCGGTATACTCAATCACTATTCCTACTTTTGAACTACACGTGACATGATTCCTTAATAGCCAGGGATATGTAGACAGCTCAGATACCAGGGCTCGGTCACATTCTCATTTCTTTTAGTTTTTGGTCTCTCTAAATAAGGGTCGGGTCACAAAACCTGTCTCATCGTTCTTTGTCTGAAAACTCTTAGCGTTCACAGTCAAAGAGGGGAAGTTGTAGACATGTAATTTTTGACCCTCCCCAAGATTATACACATTTTAGCGTAAAATATTTAGTTTAGGTTTAGTATCGCTATTCTAAATAGTTTTGACTCTTTTACTTTATTTTATCACAAAAATAAAAATTACAAAAATATTTTATTTTATTTAGCTAATTAATATTTTATCTAGTTACTTTTAATTTATCTACCTTACATAAAATTTAAAAATACAAAGATAGTTCCACTTTATTTTCAGGAATATTATTTTAATTTTACAATGATTTTTCCATTTTTATCTTTTAGTATGATATTTGAAAAATACCAAAAATTAGGTTTGGTTTAACGGTTAGTTTCATTTTAATAGTTATTTTACTTAAGTAGGATTAATTAATAAATGGTGTAGTATGTTTAGTCTTGTTTTAGAAGAAAGAGTATGAAATTTGAGGCTAATTTTATTTGATCTTAATTGAAGAGGTCCAAAGAGATGGCCCAATTTTAAAGCCCAAACCTTAAGACACACTTCCCCTTCTATTTATACACCCTAACATACATTTTAAACAGAGACATATTAAAAAAACCTAGAAACCCTAGCAAGAAAAGGACATGTCGTTCTTCTTCATTTTGATACACCCATCAGCACCCCCCTTCATCTTCTCCACCCTCAAATCCCTCACCCCTAAAAACCAGCGACAAACCACCCCTACTGCCATCACCATCCATTTCCACCCCTTTATCTTCTTCACCAGCTCACGACCACAACTCCAGCGGCCAGCTCGTTCTTCTCCGANACAACTATTAAAAAGAGACTCAGACTTGAGAGTTTTTTATTTGTTTTCTCTGATTTTCAGAACATATACATACAAATAGTCTCTGTTTTGAAGGTTAATTGGGTTGAGCCTAAGCAAAAAAAATGTTTCTTATTTCCTCCTTGCAATTTCGAGTTTCTTGGTTTCAATTTTAGTGTCTGATTGCTGCCTAGTCAAGGTTGTCGTTCGTTGGTTCCGATCCAAGCGACATCCATTATTTCCGGCCAAGATCTCGTTCAGTTGATGATGTTTTGTAATTCAAAGCTTTGAGGTCCATTCTTTCTTCTATCTCACTCTATGTTTGGAATAATTAACGTTTGATCAGTTTCTTGGTTTGTTGTTCTCTACGGTGTTCTATGTTTTAAATGAGCTAAAGCTAATTTGCTATTCCATTATTGTTCCTTCGTGTTCGATTTTTCTGCCGTAGTACTGTGTAAATTATTTGTGGCCCTCTTCGTAGTTAATTTGGTTTGCTGGGTCATTTTGGTACCTTGAGTTCATGACAATTTGATGAATATTTTGAGTCATTTTGTGGAGAATTGAAATGATAATTGGAACGAAAGAGGGATAATGTTCAATGTTGAAAGACTCAGTGGTTTATCCTTGAAAGAACTCTTGGGAACTGTTTCAATGCTGGTGATATTTTATTGTTTCTAAAGGTTGTTATGAATATATTGCTATATTACCATTTGATTTTGTTAGATGTATACCATCTGGCTGAGAGTGGGACGGATAGAGAATGCTAACAAATTGATAAGTTGTAGATATCTCTAGTTTATATTTATTTACAATAATTTCCATATCCTATGGCCTTCACAAATCTCAAATTAGTTTTAAGAAGTAAATATGAACCTTCGTAGTTTGCTATAGGCGCACTATAATAAATCATCATAGCTAGGGGTATGGTTCCCGTGACTTAGTTTTGATACGTAATTTCCAAATCCGGGTGCACATTTCATGTGACCCGGCCACAACTTCTAATAATGTTAATAAATTAAAAATTTTGTAGATCGTGGGTACGGTTCCCGTAACACGATTCGCAATGTGTACAAAACAAACAAGTGTGTAACAATCGTAACTTGTTCCAGAACAATTCCATAAATGTTAAAAGCGATTGAAAAGAATAAAATGCACAATAGGTTTAAAATATGTAATAAATCAGATAATTAGGCCAATTATTAATAGCTGAGCAGTCGTGCTAAAACCACAGAATCTGGGAATGTCTAACACCTTCTCCTGGGTTAACAGAGTTCCTTACTCGGTCTTCTGTGTTCATGGACCATAAAATAGAGTCAATTTCCTCGATTTGGGATTTAAAATAAACCGGTGATTTGGGACACCATAAACTATTCCAAGTTGCGACTCTGAAATTAAATAAATTATCCCATTTTAATTTATGTCACTTTAATTATAAAAACTCTCCTTATAACCCTTTCGGGTAGAAAATGGAGGTATTTGAATTGTATACAAACTGTTGTGAAACCCTTCTCTTCTAATCTTTTAGGAAGTGCACGCTGGTGTGACTTCTTTTCTATTAGTGTCATACCCTAATTTAGAATGAGGATCTGATCAGTTACAAATCCGGATGGCCTTTTTCTTCCCGGTACGTTGCCCCCCTCCGGCTCGAGTTGTCCGCTTGGATAAGCCAGGTCTAGAACAATACACCCAGGATTTAAACCTAGAGTAACATAGCCTCATGTCGGATCCCTAGTAGGAACGCTTGATTGCATCATGTGCATTTGACTTTGGGGACTCAACATAGGGGTTGGGTCCATCTAGGACAGGTGTACCCAAAAATTAAAAGGTTATCCTGATGCATCTTATGTGCTACATGTTGCAATCTTCAAGAGTAAAAGGGGTCATTTGGCGGACCAATAATGGTTGGGGGTAAATGAAAAAAAAAGAGGGTGAGTGTAAAAATGATGCAAGTAGGGCCAATTATATTTTTCTTTCACATTTTTGTTAAGAAAAAAAATGAAAATCCAAAAAGATTTTACACTTTCCCATCATTTTCCAAAAAAAAAAATCAAAAAAAATAGGAAAAAGAAAATTCAAAAGAGTTTACATGTTTCATCATTTTTCAAAAAAAAAAGACAAAAATATATATTTTCTCTAAATTAGTTATTTTTTTAAATTCTCGTCCGTATCCAATCTTCCCGAACTATGCATACCTGATTTTCGTCTTTCGGGGCGTGATACGTAGGCAACTCACATAGGGTCTGGTCTTCCTAGTGAGTCTTAGGTTCTTGGATTCGAGGGTCGTAGCCAAATCTTGCATGTCTAGCCATTTTTGGCCACATCGGTCATTTTGCAAAATAAGGCTTTTTTCGCAGGGTGATTTTGTTTAATTGTCTGAAGAGTCTTGAATCAACAATTAGGTGTCTCTTTACTTTAAGATCTGTCCTTGTCGAATTTGCATGTCTATCGCTCTTGGCCACGTAGGCCGTTTAGTGAAATAGGGCTATTTTCACAAAAGTGGTTTAATTAAACAATGTCTTAGAGTCCTAAGTCCACAACAAGGTGTCCTCTTAGTTTAAGGTCCATTGCATTGAATTTGCATGCTTAGCCATCTTTTTGACCACATAGGCCATTTCTACAAAATGGATCATTTCTACAAAGTAATTTTTCCATGTCTTAGAGGTCACTTTTGTTGAGTTTGCACTTCTAGCCACCTTTTTGCCACATAAGCCATTTTGCAAAAATACTCTCAATCATATCTTACATGTATCCAATAGGAAGTTTTATTATCTCACATAGTGTTCTAAGTCTTTAATTCTATTTGGTATTATTTTTCTCATACAGGTGTGGGTTTACTTATCTTGCAGGTCTGGCATGAGCATGACAGGCACCCAGGACCATCTGGTCAGGACCGTTGCACCTAGGAATTGCTTGAGGAGATTTTTTATGTTTTGAGTATGTTTCTTTTTATGTTGTCTTGTGCTTTATTGCCTTGTTATTTGCGGATGATATAGTCTTGATTGATGAGAAGTTTTATATCTTGCATGTGTCCAATAGGAAGTTTTATTGTCTCACATAGTGTTCTAACTCTTTAATTCTATTTGGTATTATTTTTCTCATACAGGTGTGGGTTTACTTATCTTGCAGGTCTGGCATGAGCATGACAGGCACCCAAGACCATCTGGTCAGGACCGTTGCACCTAGGAATTGCTTGAGGAGATTTTTTATGTTTTGAGTATGTTTCTTTTTATGTTGTCTTGTGCTTTATTGCCTTGTTATTTGCGGATGATATAGTCTTGATTGATGAGAAGTTTTATATCTTGCATGTGTCCAATAGGAAGTTTTATTGTCTCACATAGTGTTCTAACTCTTTAATTCTATTTGGTATTATTTTTCTCATACAGGTGTGGGTTTACTTATCTTGCAGGTCTGGCATGAGCATGACAGGCACCCAAGACCATCTGGTTAGGACAGTTGCACCTAGGAGTTGCTTGAGGAGATTTTTTATGTTTTGAGTCTGTTTCTTTTTATGTTGTCTTGTGCTTTATTGCCTTGTTATTTGCGGATGATATAGTCCTAATTGATGAGACGCGAGGTGGCGTTAACAAGAGGCTGGAGGTCTGGAGACATACCCTGGAGTCTAAGGGTTTCGAGTTGAGCAGGACCAAGGCAGAATACTTAGAGTGCAAGTTCATCGGTGTTACCAGGAGGCGGATGGGGATATGAAACTCGATACGCAAGTCATTTCCAAGAGAGAGAGTTTTAAGTATCTGGGATCTATAATTCAGAAGGATGGGGAAATAGATGATGATGTCACGCACCGTATCGGAGCAGGGTGGCTGAAGTGGAGGCTCGCTTCCGGTGTCTTATGTGATAATAATGTGCCATTGAGACTTAAGGGTAAGTTCTACAAGGTAGTGGTTACACCGACTATGTTGTATGAGGCAGAGTGTTGGCCAGTCAAAAATTTTCATGTCTAGCAGATCAAGGTAGCGGAAATGAGGATGTTGAGATGGATGTGTGGGCATACTAGGTTAGATAGAACTAGGAATGAAGTTATTCGAGACATGGTGGGAGTGGCGCCTATGGAGGCAAAGATGTGTGATTCAAGGTTGAGATGGTTCGGGTATGTTAAGAGGATAAGCGCAGATGCCCCTATCAGGAGATGTGAGAGGTTGGCCTTAGGAGGTGAGAGGAGGGGTAGAGGTAGGCCAAAAAAGTCTTGGGAGGAGGTGATCAGGCGGGATATAGTGCTACTTGAACTAACCGAGGACACGATTCTAGATAAAAGGGTGTGGAGGTTGAAGATTAGGGTAGAAGGTTAGTAGGTAGTTGTGCATCTCCCATTGTCTTCTCTAGCTCGATAGTATTAGCGCTAGTACGGTACTCTTTTTTCCTTAGTTTGCTATATTCGCATGTCTCATTTTGTTGTTACTTGCCATTGGTAATTCCATAGTTTGCTAGCAGTACTTCGTTCATATTCTCGTCTGCTGCCTTGGAATTAGTTTTCTAAATATGTTATCTTGCTACTACTTGTTATCAGTACCCCTTTCATATTATCTGTTGTTATCTCCGATTTAGTTTTCTAATTATTATTTTTCTATTACTTGCTACCAGGGCATCTCTCACCTTCTTTAGCCGGGGGTCTATGGAAAGCAGTCTTTCTGCCCTTCTAGGGTAGGGGTAAGGCTGCATACATCCTACCATCCCCAGACCCAACTTGTGGGACCACACTGGGTTGTTGTTGTTATTGTTGTTGTTATGCTTTATCGTCATGTCCAGTAATAATGATTCTTTTAGTTGGTGTAAGAGTTTGTCGTAGTATAGTTGATGTTTATCAAGTCTCTCATTATCGTATCCTATTTTGTATTTCAAAATCATAAAAAAAAGTTGTAAATGAAAATCCAAAAAAAATTATTTTTTAGTTTATTTTGGTCATTACTTTTCCAGAACTATGCTTGATCTGATTCATGAGGGACATGTTACATAGGCAACCTACATAGGGTTCGATCGAATCATTTTTTTTAAGTTAAAAGAAAAAGAAAAAAAGGGGAAAAAAGAAGATGAAATTATGTAATGTGAGAAATGAGAGGAGATAAATGAGTGATAATTAAAAAAAAAAGGAAGGAAAATGAGCAAGCCAAGAAGTGCTAGAAAAGAAAAGAAGAGAAGATTGAAATGAACAAATTGGATGATGTCATATGACCTTCATACCCTCGAGTCATTTTAGAACTGATAACTTTGACTAGGTGCATTGCACATAATGTGAGATTATCTTATGTTAAATGCTCTAACGCTAACGTGATGACTTTATTTTGTTCCTCTTTGTTATCTTCATAAAGAAGAAGGGTGGTTGGTTTGTGTTCTTAGAGTGGTAACTCTTCTCTACAATCTAAAGTCGAACGGCAATGGCAGATGACAACAGAATTGAGTTGGTTGATACTGGTGCCCAAAAGCAATTGATTGAACATGACAATGGGTTGGTTAAAGAGGTAAGGATTTTAAGACAACACATGACGGACATGTATCAGGCTTGGATGACTGGGAAGGCACCACCCCTACCACAACCTAGCTTCTTAGATGCTACCCTTACCCAAACTCCGGTCATAGTGCCAGATGATCCCCCATACTCTCTAGATTCTCCCGCTTATCATAGCTTTCCCAACCACCCTTGTAGCTCCCTCACTCGTCCTCTAACTGCCTTTCCCAAAAATTGCCCTCCTGTCATATCCATTATCCCCATGATCACAACTTCTCAACAATCTTCCCTTCATAGATCCAACAACGAACACCCACTCAAAACTCATGATGCCTAATATTACCCCTTGGAGATTGCCCACAAGGTCCCTGACTCATACAATCATAGACCTCAGAATGATTCTCATGTTAAAAATGAAAAGTTCACAGGAAAAGAAGGTAGAGATGAGATATCGAGGAAGCCTAAAGGTATAGAACAGTCCTTAAAGAGCATGAAAGGGATAAGAAATAAAATTAACATGTCTTACTATGATTTGTGTATGTTCACTGATGTTCATCTTCTCGCGGGGTTTAAAATGCCAAAGTTTAACTTGTATGATGAGCGTGGAGATGCAGTAGCCCATCTGAGGGGTTATTGCAGTGACATGAGAATGTTGGCAGGAAAGAGGATTTGTTGATGCCGTATTTCAGTGAGAGTTTGAGTGGGGTAGCCTTGGAATGGTATACTCGTCATGATGTCAATAAGTGACATGCATGTGATGGCATGGCTCAAGATTTTGTTTGACACTCTCAGTACAATCTAGACAATATCCTAGACCGCTCCTCCTCCTCTAAGTTGGAAAAGAAACTCGAGGAAGGTTTTAGAGAGTTTGGAATCAGATGGAGGGAACAAGTTGCTCTTTTCAGTTTCCCGATTAGTGAAGAAGAAATGGTTGAGCTTTTCCTACAAGCCTAGGAGGCCACCTACTTCAGTCATTTGATCCCGACTTTGGGTAAACCTTTCGATGATGTGGTAAAGATTGGGGAGATGGTAGAAGAAGTAATCAAGTTAGAAAAAATCATAAGTTATTCTGCATTGAAAGATACTATAGAAGACATTCAGAACATCTTAGTAAATCTGGGGGGAATAAAGAGAAATAGAAAAGATGTTGTTGAACCCTGCCGACGACAAGATCCAGTGGGCGTTCCTGCTCAACGCTTTCAGACTCAATATCGACACCATGAATATCCTCATACTCGAGATAATCCTCCCCAATGCTACTTCTCTCCAAAAAATCCCCAAAGTCATACCTCACTATCCCAGTACACCATCTACAATGCACCGTCATATACTCCACATCTACAAGACCCGCAATGGCTTGCACCGTCTCCACAAATGTCTTACCCACCTCTAAAAGCATTTCAACCACCTGCCCGCAAAAGGTTCTAGTCGAGGCCGGAATACAAAATGAAAAGGCAGCAACAAAGAGAGAAGTCTTTCACTCCTATTGGAGAACCATATGCCAGTTTGTTCCAAAGATTGACGCAATTGGGCATGTTGAAGCCGATTTAGATAAAAATGTTGAACCTCCTTCCAGAGAATTTTGATTATTCTAAGAGGTGCACATATTGCTCAAATTCCCTGGGGCACAACATAGAAAAGTGTTAGAATCTGAAAAGAGCAGTCCAGAAGCTTGTTGGTGCAGGTGACATTGTCCTGCAAAATCCAGATGTAGTAGACACCAGCCAAAGTCCACTGCCTATTCATAATGAGACGCACATGGTGGGTATGATTTGTGTTGAAAAGGAATACGAGAACTCTTCTGAGTTCCTTGGGGGGCCACTTTCTGCAAAGCTTTTAGCATTATCAATCTCGGTTCCAGAAGTTGATCTTAAGAGCGAGTTGGCAAAAGGGACCCAAAGCTATTTGCTAAGGTCAACATGATGGAGACTTGCGAAGATTCTAGTAACATCGATGTGCGACTTAGTGGCTAAGATGTCGAACTTGGTAATTGGAAATACACTCTTTTCTTGGCTAGTCAGGGAGGATTTTTGGTGGTTTATTTTGTTGTCATTTCTGTTGTCCAGATTATTTCATGGTTGTAATCCAGATATTGTCTGGTGATTCAAACCCTTCTATCCTTTTATTTTGCCTAGTCGTTTAGTCATAGTAACTCGTTTAGTGTTATCTAGGTTTATTCCAGGGTTGTAACCCCAGCTTATTTTGCTTGTTTTGTTGTTCGAACCCTTTCACCATATGTCTAATGCAATTTCCTATTTTTTGTTATTCCTAGTCAGTTTTTCTTTAGTTCCCTTTTCCTTTTATAGTTCTTTTTTCATGTAGGCTCTAGTGACATTACATACACGTATAATTCTAGGTCTGGTCTTAAAAGTTAGTCTAATTACGAAGCAGTGAAACAATTTTGAATATGATATGGACGTTTGAGGGAAATAAGTACATAGTTGGACATTGTCATATCATTTAAAGCACGAAATGTGTGAAACTAGGGCAGATAATTTGGGAAGTCGATAGGGTGACAATAATTTGTTAAAGGAGAGTGCATCCCGGACAATTTGAAGCGAGCAACTTTGAGTCTGAGTGCATCTCAAGTTACAGATAAAGCCAAGGGAGTTTGCTCCAAACAGACGGGCGGTATCCATCGTGGAGAAGAAATCATCCAACGAGAGTTCTGTACTTGACAAGGAACTAAAAAAATGGAAGGCATATCATTGATATCAATGCCGAAGCTACAAATAAAATGTTGTGCATGATCTTCCTTTTTCATCGTCAAGTTGTATGTGTTGTACTTGGTATTTTCGGGGATTGGGAGACCCTCTTTTAGCTACCCAAACACTTTATACCGTTTGGTACCCCTTTTGAGCCTATGCTAATTTTATTGACCTCCCCTCTTTTGGAATCAATTTAGAGTCAAAAAAACATGTCCTCATAGGTTTGTTTTAGAAAGTTCATTCTAAAAGAAAAGTCAAAAAGAAAAAAACACAAAAGAAAAAAAAATAAAAGAAAAAAGGAAAAAGAAAAAGAAGAATACCAACGAAAAGAAAGCATCCCTTCGAACTACGTTCGACCTGATTCTTGTCACCACAAGATATGTAGGCAGCCTTAAAGTTCGGTCGCACCAAATAAAATTACGACGACCCGGCCAGTCGTCTCATGAGTTACCACTTCGTTTCCCTCATTTCTGCTTCTTATTGCTTTGTTTATTGGTATTATGTGTGATTGGATTGGTTGGCTCGGGTTCAGAGAGGTTTTGAGAAGGTTTGAGACACTTAGTCTCTTTTGAGGAAGCTTGAGTTAGAAAATTCAACCGGATGTTGACTTATGCATTAGAGGGCTCGAATGTGCGTTCCGACGGTTCGGATAGATTTGAGAGGTGATTTGGGACTTAAGAGCGTGATCGGAATGTGTTTTGGAAATCCGGAGTAGATTTAGCCTTGAATTGTTGAAATTGGGATTTTGGCGTTTTCCGGTTCATATGTGAGAATTTGATATAGGGGTCGGAATGGAATTTTGGGAGCTGCAGTAGTTCCATTGTATCAGTTGGGATGTGTGTGCAAAATTTCAGGTCATTCGGACGCGGTTTGGTATACTTTGTGATCAAAAGCGTAATTCGGAAGATTTTGAAAACTTAGGCTTGAATCTGATGTGTTTTGGTTGATTCGATGTTATTTGAGGTGTTTTAAAGATTGGTATAAGTTTGAATGGTGGTATATGATGTGTTTGTGCTTTTGGTTGAGGTCCGGGGGTCTCGGGGTGATTTCGGATGGTTGATGGAAAGAATTGAAGTTTGAAATGGCAGCTGAAGTTTGAATCTGCTGTCATAACAACATCTGCGATTGGGAGGCCGCAGGTGTGACCCCCGTAGATGCGGAAAGGAGTCGCTGAAGTGGAAGAAGGTGAGGTTGGCAGGAACCATAGAAGCGGTTGAGGAACTGCACCTGCGCTATCGCAGGTGCGGGTTAGGCATCGCAGATGCGGAGACTGTGGGGCTTTGGACTGTAGATGCGGTTCATGGACCGCAAAAATGGTACCGCAGAAGAGGGAAATTGGCTGCAGATGCGAAATCCCTGGGCCAGAAGGTATAAATGCATTCATTCGCGAATTTTTGGGTCATTCCACCATTTCTAAGTCGGATTTGGAGCTTTTTGGGAGATTTTGAAGAGGAATTCAAGGGCTATTCTCTGGAGGTAAGATTGTTGAACCTAATACTCATTTCTATGGTATTATTTCACAGATTAGGGTTGTAGTTAATGAAAATTAAGGGCTAGAATTGGGAAACTAGGGCTTGGTGTTGGAGACCTAGACTTAAGGATTTGAGGGGCCATTTGTGGTCAGATTTTGGAACTTTTGATATGTATGAACTCTTGGTGAGATAAGAAATTTATTGATGTAAATTTTATCGAATTCGGAGACGTGGGCCCAGGGGGTTGGGTTTTGGTAA